TTATGCAAACTAGAAGTCATCCTCCACTGTGGTCAGGCTATCCAGAGGTAACCAGCCAACATCTACAAGACAATAGGAGATCAAGCTCCTGGAATTGAGCTGAGGCCCATATCATATTCAGCCCAGACACCAGAGAAAAGCAAATCCAAACCACTTTGAGACTCCATCTCATCCCAGCCAGAATGGCTGTGATCAAATAAACAAATCGCAGATGCTGACCTGGATGTGGGAAAGAGGAACCCTTATTCACTGTTGGTGAGAGCATAAACTGGTGTGGTTACTGTAGAAGTAGAATTACCATATGACCCATCTATACCACTCCTAGGCATATGTCCACAGGTATCAGTATCATAACAAAGAGATATCTGCACCCATGTCTATTGCTGCAACATTCAAAATAGCAAAAAATGGAATGGGTCCAGATGTACAACAATGAGTGAAGGTAATAAATGTGGCATGTATACACAATGGGATTCTATTTGACTATAAAGACAAATGAAATGTGCTGGAAAGTGGTATATTAAATGAGGTAACATAGACAAAAACACCTAACTCTTTTTTTTAAATCTTTTAAAATTTAAATTAGAAACAACATTGCTTCACATATCAATCTCAGTTCCCTCTCCCTCCTCTCCTCTCCCAGCACCCCCACTGACTCCCCTTGCCTCCCACCCAATCTGCTCCCCAGGGAGGGTGTGGCCCTCCATGGGGTATTTCCAGAGTCTGTCATTTCATCCAGGGCAGGGCCTAGGCCCTCTCCCATGTGTGCAGGCTGAGAGAGCATCCCTCGATGTGGAATGGGCACCCAAAGTCCATTTGTATGCCAGGGATAAACACTGATCTATTACCCAAGGCCCCATAGATTGCCTAGGCCTCCTCACTGACACCCACATTCAGGGGGTCTGGATTAGTCCCATGCTGGATTCCCAGGCATCAGTCTGGGATTCAAGAGCTAACCCTAACCCTTGTCAGGTCAGATGTTTCTGGGGGTTAAACCAGCCCAGTCTTAACCCCTTTGCTCATCAGTCCTCCCTCTCTGTCACTGGATTTCTTGAGTTCAGCTTAATGCTTAGCTGTGGGAGTCTGCCTCTGCTTCCATCAGCCATTGGATGAAGTTTCTGTTTCCCAGACTCTCTGGCCATGGGATTGTAGGCTGGCACTCCCCAGATCTATGTCTAAAATCCATATGTGAGAGAGTACATGCCATGTTTCTCTTTTTGTGACTGGGTTACCTCACTCAGGATGGTTTCTTCTAGTGCCATCCATTTGCCTGCAAATTTCAGGATTCCATTGTTTTTTTTCTGCTGAATAGTACTCCATTGTGTAAATGTACCACATTTTCTCTATCCACTCTTCGGTTGAGGGGCATCTAGGTTGCTTCCAAGTTCTGGCTATTACAAATAATGCTGCTATGAACATAGTGGAACAGACATCCATGTTGTATGAATGGGCATCTTTGGATATATGCCTAAGAGTGGAGTTCCTGGGTCTTGTGGTAGGTTTATTCCCATTTTTCTGAGGAATCTCCATACTGATTTCCAATGTGGCTGTACAAGTTGGCACTTCCACCAGCAGTGGAGGAGTATTCCCCTTTCAACACAACCTCTGCAGCATAAATTGTCATGGGTGTTTTTGATTTTAGCCATTCTGACAGGAGTAAGATAGTATCTCAGGGTTGTTTTGATTTGCATTTCCCTAATGGCTAAGGATGTTGAGCACTTTCTTAAGTGCCTCTCAGCCATTTTAGACTCCTCTATTGAGAATTCTCTAATTAGTTCAGTCCCCCACTTTTTAATTGGATCCTTTGGTGTTTTGGAGACTTGCTTCTTGAGTTCTTTGTAAATTTTGGAGATCAGCCCTCTGGCAGATGTGGGGATTGTGAATATCTTTTCCCATTTTGTGGGCTGCCTTTTTGCCTTGCTGACTGTGTCCTTTGCCTTACAGAAGCTTCTTAGTTTCAGGAGGTCCCATTTATTAATTGTTGATCTCACTGTCTGTGCTACTGGTGTTATGTTCAGGAAGCTGTCTCCTGTACTAATTCGTTGAAGGGTACCACCCACTTTCCTCTTCTAACAGGTTCAGTGTGGCTGGATATATGTTGAGGTCTTTGATCCATTTAGACTTAAGCTTTGTGCATGGCGATAGACATGGATCTATCCTCATTCTTCTACATGCCAGCATCCAGTTATGCCAGCACCATTTGTTAAAGATACTTTCTTTTTTTTCCATTGTATATTTTTAGCTTCTTTGTCAAAGATCAGATGTTCATACATGTATGGGTTAATATCAGTGTGTTCAATTAGATTCCATTGGTCTACCTGTCTATTTTTGTGCCAATACCAAACTGTTTTCAGGACTACAGCTCTATAATAGAGCTTGAGGTCAGGGATTTGTATGCCAGGGATAAACACCGATCTACTACCCAAGGCCCCATAGATTGCCTAGGCCTCCTCACTGACCTCCACATTCAGGGGGTCTGGATCAGTCCCATGCTGGATTCCCAGGTGTCAGTCTGGGGTCTAAGAGCTCCCCTAATAACACCTAACTCTTGATGGTTATATATGTGTCCATAAGTGGATGAGACTGTGAGCACACAGAGGTCGGAGACAATGAGAAGGAACAGGAAGTACGGAGGATGTGGAAGGGGTTGCATGTGACATGAGAATAGAAAGGAGCCCACTGGGGTGGAAGGGTAAAACGGGAGAGGGGTGAGGGGAGGGAGACAGCAAAAGAAACTTGGTTTGAAAACAGCCATAGTGAAACATAATCCTATATAGGATAATCAAAACAAGTAACTGTGTTTGCGTATTTGACTTGTCCTAAGGAATTGGATGGTTCGCCTGTCCTAGGACTGAAGCAGCCTCATGAGTAGCACTTGTAAAAAGCCACCTACAGGTAGCTCTCTGGGTGAGGGATTAGAACTGTAGGATATATTGAATGGGAATTGCAAGACTCATTAGACTCAGTACAGGTTAAGTGAAATTTATTCGGGGAGAATGCACTTACACAAGAGGCGTGTGGCAACTGCAGGTTCCAACTCCAAGGATCCACCCAGGCTGTTCTCTGTGACCTGAGCTAAAGCAAGAACCAGCGCTGGGGTCAGGGACCCAGGTCTAGTCCTGCCCTCCATCACTTCTGCACCTGTGACCACCCCAAACAGGCATGGTCAGTGCTACAGGTGTGGGTGGGATGGATATCAAACTACGAGGATAAGCAGGAGAGATACCAAAAAGCATGTGAGGGAAGAGGCTGGGAACTGAACTGGCAAGCAGGAAGTGAAGTATCGGGCAGACATGTTGGGTTTGCTCCCTAAGAGAGACACACTTTTCCCCTGCAAAGGCTGGAAATGCTTTCCTGAGATGCAGTTGTCTCAGGAAATCATTGTTAAATCAGTAGATGATCAGCAAACTAAATAGACATGGCAGCAGGCACAAAAAAAATCGAGAAATATAAACTTTAAAATTAATTTAGAAAAGTCACTAAACAAAAGGTACTGACCACGAGCAACAGAAATCCCCAGGGAGAAAGAAGACTCTGAATTCCAGGCAGCTATATTATAACATAATATGCATATAACAATTAAAAAAACGAGGAAGACAAAGAAACAGGAAATCATAGCCTATACACAGGGAAAGAGGAAGTAGAAAGTATCTCTAAGGAAGCACAGATAACTTACTTAATCATTAAAAAATTAATTTATTTTAGCTGGGCAGTGGTGGTGAACGCCTTTAATCCCAGCACTCAGGAGGCAGTCACGCTGATCTCTGTGAGTTCTTGGCCAACCTGGTCTACAAAGTTACACAGAGAAACCCTGTCTCAAAAAAAAAAAAAGAAAAATTAATTTAATCATTTTTAATATGTTTAAAGAGATGAATAAAGCCACAGATAAAAAAATACAAAATCAAATAAATCATCAAATGGGAGAGGAGAATCAAATAGAAATCCTGGAGCTATGAAGAAGAATAAGTTAAAATATTCTCTAGAGAAGCTCCAAAGGAGGTCTGAACATGCCAAGGAAGCAGGGAGCATGATGAAGGATGGCTTGAGCTGAAGGAAAGTAAAGAACCCTGGATACTGTGGAATAGCATCCAGGGAACCATGGTGTTCAATCAACAGTCAGAGGAAATGGAAAGAGACAAGATGGCAGAAAGATCTGAAGAAATGAAAAAGTTCCCAAATTTGAGAAATATTGAACTTTTGTATTCAATCAGTCAAGGAACTCCATATAAGCATAAAGACTTCCATATTGTAGCACATTGTAACCAAGCTGACAAAAGACTGAGGGACTCTTGGAAGCTGCTAAAGAGGGGAGCTCATCACACACAAGGTTCTTTCATATAATAATCAGGGATCATGAAACCAAAAAGGCAGTGGAAAGGCAGTTCTCTCATTAGGGAACTGTAAGGACCAAAGCCAATAATGTCATGCCTAGAAATCTATCCTTCTAAAGAAGGAGAAATCAAGACATTTCTAGATAAGTATCCCCCACAGACAATAACCTACACATACCTGAGGAAATAGGAACATCACAAAGACAGTATATAAAAAGTACTTATTTAGAAGATAAATATGGAAAGAAACAACAGTGAGTCTGTGTAAATCGGTGTCCATGTAAAAAGGTTATTAGTGACAGTGACAGCATACAGGGGAAAGATGAACTTAAGAAGTTTCTTTATTACTGTGGCTGAGTGGATATTAGTTCAAACTAGGTGGTTATAAATATAAACTATTAAGATTTATTTCCTAATTAAAATATAAGTATTTTGCCTGCATGTGAACATAATACATATGCATGCATATTATGCATTCTCTGGTGTCCACCGAGGCCAGGAAAGGGTGTCAGATTCCCTAGAATTGTAGTTACAGATTGTTGGGGAAGTCCTGTTATTTGCCTGTGCATTTGTCAATAAAGTACTGTCTGGCCAATAGAAAACCTAGATAGGAGGGACTAGGAGTCGAGGAGGATTCTGGGAAGGGGAAACACAAGAGAGTCGACATGTAACCGCATAGGGTAGGAAGCCCGGGACTATTCTCCGGTAAGAAACATACTTAGATTAACAATTATGGGGTAATTACTTAAGTCAAAGCTAGCCAGTAAGAAACAAGCAAGGCCAACAGCTTCATAATTAATACAGCGTCCTGTGTGTTTATTTGGGGACTAGAATGTGGCAGAGCCCAGGCGGCTGGTGGGGGATAAACCAAAGCGGCTAGCAAGGAAAAGCTTCCCTTAACAGAATGGTGATCAGGAGTGGGATCATGAATTTCCACGCAAAATAACAAAAGCTCTAAAGGGATTTTAGAAACAGAAGAACAGAGAGAAACACAGATTTTTGGTAGCAGCATTTTTCTCAGGTGTGCTCTGTTTTGCTAGCGACAAGCCGAGATTCACGTGGCTCGTTTACCGGAGTCTTCCTGACTCAGCATAAAAAGAAAAAAAAAACAGCAAGGTTGTTTTAAGAGACTCTGCTAACGATTGAAAGGTGTGTACGTACAGCTGGAAGTGGCAGCTTTTGCTGGATGTCAGCATGGACTGAGGCGGTAAGCTGGAATCACGTTTACGCCCGCCATCTTGACAGAAAAACCAGCAGTTTAAAACAGCCGCGGCTTTACAGATGAGACACGTGGTCAGAAAAACATAAAGATTTACAGTAAAGTCAGACTTGGATGAAGAAAATCTCTAAAGGTTTACAGTGTGTTTAAAAATATACATGAGATTGAGAGAGAAAATGAAACGGCAAAGTGGTATATAAATACAAAAGCCGGCGTTGTGGTGGCGCACGCTGGTAGGATTTACTCCAGAGGCAGAGGCAGGCAGATTTCCAAAGAGAAACCCTGTCTCAGAGAAAAATAAATGAAAGTGAAAGAAATAAAGTAATAATAGATAAATAAAAAAGCCACGTAAAGATGGAAATCACACAGAGGGTCTGGATACTGTACACTATTGTGTTTTTCAGTTTTTTCATTGCTAAGGAAGGAGCAACTGCTAAAGTACACTTGATTATAAATGCTGCTGAATTAATTCAACTTATATCTTTTAAAAATGCCTTGACTTCAAAATTTAAGTATAAGGATATGTTACTCGGAAAAGGAGTTTTAATTTATGTTTCCACAGAACATAAAAAGCTGAGGATTTCTTCCAGACTTCTGTGGTTTCACGAACCAAGACCCCCGGAAGCAGTGGACAAGGTGTTCCAACAATTGAGACAGTTAAGATGATGCAGTTTTACAGACCCCGAAAATACAGACTTATACAGGTTTCTGAGTTTTGTCATGATCCCCATGGTATAAACAGCGCCCCCTTCCAGCAGGAAGCAGTTTGGAATGAGCGACGTCCCAATTCCCATCTTGTTTATAAATCTTTGTTTTCATCTGAATGGGATTGTTTATAATTGGCTAGTGATCACAGCCAATCTTTTTTAATGGTAAAAAGGGGAATTATGGTATGGGTATTGTTTTTCATTTATTGAGACAAAATCAAGGTCAATTTTGTGATGCTTATATTTCTCCTCTTGATTAAGTATTGTGCTTATACTGATCTTTTACAACGTAATGTATAATTGAATACAGACTATAGATAGTTACTTATAATAGAATTTCTAGTTACATAAGTTAGGTTTCTAGATATACAGAAATATATTTGAGATGGACAGTCTTCAAACCTCTCAAAGACCTTCAGAACATGGCATTTAAAATGGTTTAGGGTTTGTCTTGACAATGAGAAATGTCTGTTCCTGGCAGCACCAATTACGTCTGAGAGGAAGATGGGCATCGAAGAAACTCGTTATAAAGTTTGCTTTCAACATGGCAAGATTAGCCATTTGGGCAAGAAACTGCTCTTGCCTAGATTGTTTGACTGTTGTTGTATCATCTGGACATGCAGGACCCATAGGAAAGTGACTACTGAACTTCATCAAGGGTTCCTGCTTGATGAAGAGTCTACGAGACTTTCTGCAGGACAAAGAAAAATGACTGACAGACTGCCAACGCAGATGGACAGTTTGAAATTTTCTGCTTTGCTGAGAAGTGTTCCAGACACATTGTGGCCTATGGGCTGAAGATGGATGCCCCAACGTTACAGAGGAACTTCGGGTGACTGTCCAGGCAGTAAGATGTCTCTGTCAATCCTAGTGTTTATATATTATCCTTCTGTGTTCTTTGATGGAGTTGAAGACAGATAGTTATAATTACAGTTTTCCTTAGTTATGATAAAAGATAAGCTACATAGAACTTTGGACTCACAAGGATGGGATGGATGATATTTTCTTTAAATCTTGCTAAAATATTGTAACTATGTTCTTATTTGATAACTGTTCTGTTATATACAATTTGACTGTGTTAAAGTTAAGACCTTTCTTTTTGTTTAAACAGAAAGGAGATGTTGGGGAAGTCCTGTTATTTGCCTGTGCATTTGTCAATAAAGTACTGTCTGGCCAATAGAAAACCTAGATAGGAGGGACTAGGAGTCGAGGAGGATTCTGGGAAGGGGAAACACAAGAGAGTCGACATGTAACCGCATGGGGTAGAAAGCCCGGGACTATTCTCCGGTAAGAAACATACTTAGATTAACAATTATGGGGTAATTACTTAAGTCAAAGCTAGCCAGTAAGAAACAAGCAAGGCCAACAGCTTCATAATTAATACAGCGTCCTGTGTGTTTATTTGGGGACTAGAATGTGGCAGAGCCCAGGCGGCTGGTGGGGGATAAACCAAAGCGGCTAGCAAGGAAAAGCTTCCCTTAACAACAGATGGTTAAAATCTGCTGGGAACTGAAACTGGGTCCTCTACAAGAGCAGCCAGTGTTCTTAGATGCAGAACCATCTCTCTAGCCCTATAAATTTAACTACAGTTATCATAACCAAAACTTCAAAAGGGAAACGAGAAAGAAAATAGCATTAGAAAAAAAACCTAAGCAATAGTGGAGAGGCTACTCTAAATACTCTTCCCCAATAATGAGACTGATGACTACTTTATATGTCATCCTAGAGCTTTCCTCCAGTAGCTGATGGAAGCAGAGGCAGACACTCACAGTTAAACACAGAGCTGAACTCCTGGAATCCAGTTGCAGAGAGGGAGGAGTGATGAGCAAAGGGGTCAAGACCAGGCTGGAGAAACCCACGGAGACAGCTGACCTGAACAAGGGGAACTCATGGACCTCAGACTGATAGCTGGGAAACCAGCATAGGACTGATCCAGACCCCCTGAATGTTGGTGTCAGTTAGGAGGCATGAGCAATCTATGGGGCCTCTGGTAGTGGATCAGTATTTATCCCTAGGATGTGAATGGACTTTGGGAGCCCATTCCACATAGAAGGATACTCTCTCAGCCTAGACACATGGGGAAGGGCCTAGGCCCTGCTCCAAATGATATGACAGATTTTGAAGATTCCCCCATGGAAGGCCTCACCCTGGGGAGGGGGAGGGAATGGGATAGGAGGTCAGTGGGGTGCAGGGGAGGACGGGAGGAAGGGAGAGAGAGGGAACTGGGATGGACATGTAAAACTGATTGTTTCTAATAAAAAAAAGACAACTCATATCTTAAAAAAACCAAAAAATCAAATAAAAAAGAATGAAGAAAGAGTTGAGAAAAACTGATGTATAAGACAGAAAGAAAACAAATGAAAAAGGAACAAGAATTAGTTCTTGCCTAAAATTGTTATCGATTAAACTTTTCAGTTAAATGTTAGAGGTTAGCAGAATGGGAGGAGGGCACCTAACATGATCCAATTATATGCTGCCTATAAGAGAGTACCTTTAGAATAAAGATGCAAATAGGTTGCAAATGGAAGGATGAAAATATACTGTATTAGTCAACGTTCTGTAGAGTCACAGAACTTATGGAATCAATCTCTCTCATCTCTGTCTCTATCTCTATCTCTATCTCTGTCTGCTTGTCTGTAGGTTCTCTCTCTTCTCTGTGATTTTCTGTCTACAATAGGGTAATGTAGCAATAGTGCATCCCCTCAGTCCTAGGCTTTCTAGCATTTAGAAACATGAGGCAAATACATTTATTTTCTTTATGTTACTTAGTCTCTGCTGTCCTGTTAACTGGCATGAAATGGTCAAAAGTAGCTTGTGTCAGTCCATAGAAGAGATATTGCTGGAACAATGGTCTATGTCCTAGGTGAGGCCACTCATAGAGCAAGAGGTTATATCTAGTGTCAAGGTCTTAGGTTGGAGCAATCTCATTTGCAAGGTGGGACAACAATTTCATTATTGAGTGTATGCGAACTCAGGTTGATGGGTCTTGCTTCTGTGGACCTATGGCACTGTGTCTTAGAGTTGCTATTACCGTGATGAACACCATGGCCAAAGGCACCTTGAGGGAGGAAAGGGTTTATTGGGTTACACATCTCACATCACAGTCCACTGAGGGAGCAAGCCAGTAAGCAACAGTCCTCCATGAGCTCTGCATCATCTCCTGCCTCCAGGTCCCTCCCAACATCCCTCTGACACACACCGAATTCCTGCTGTGATTTCCATCAGTGTGATAGGTATTCCTGATTAACAAGTTGACTACATCCAGCATTAACTAAAACCCCATGGGCACTCCCGTGAGGGATTTGTGTGTGTGTGTGTGTGTGTGTGTGTGTGTGTGTGTGTGTGTGTCTTAAATTTTTTTACAGGTCCCACATGCAGTGATTTTCCATACCTGCAGACAAAACACTCACACATATAAAATTAAACAAATCTTTTAAAACAAAATAACAAAAACAATAACAACAAAACCATTTTGTGGCTGAGGAAGGCATGGTGGTGTAGGCCCACAATTCCAAGCCAGTTTTCACCCAACAGACAAACTGCAACTTTGAAAATCTTGGCTCACTACTAATCCTCCCTTTTTTCTCTCCACTTGTAATATAGAAACTTTGCATGCAATGCTTGAATTTAATCACTGAATTCCCATGGAAAGTATTTATCTTTTTTTCCTTAATATATATTTTAATTTAAATTAGAAACATGCACGCTTCACATGTCAATCCCAGCTCCCTCCCAACCCCTCCTCCCTTGTCCCTCCATCAGCCTCCCCAGACCCCAATTCGCACATCATTCCCCAGGGTGAGGCCCTCCTTGGGGGATCTCCAGTGTCTGTCATTTCATCCTGGGAAGGACCTAGGCCCTTCCCCATGTGTCCAGTCTGAGAGAGCATCCCTCCATGTGGAATGGGCTCCCAGAATTCATTCATACACCATGGTAAACACTGGGACCCAAGGTCCCAGAGATTTCTGAGGCCTCCTCGCTGATACTACATTCATGGAGTCTGGATCAGTCCCCTGTTGACCTCTCAGCCATCAGCCTGGGATTCAAGAGCTCCCCATTGTCCAGTCAGCTGTCTTTGTGGGTTTCACTAGCACAGTCTTGATCCCTTTTGCTCATCATTCCTCCATCTCTGTCACTTGGTTCCAAGGGGTGCAGTTCAGTGTTTAGCTGTGGGTATCTGCCTCTGCTTCCATCAGTCACTGGATGAAGGTTCTAGGATGGCATATAAGGTAGTCATCAACCTTATCATCAGGGAGGAGCTATTAATGTAGTCTCTCTGGTATGGCTTAGTTTGCCAGTTGGTGTTATGCTTGTAGATCTCTGGAAATCTCCCTAGTGTCTCCTCAAACCTATAATGACTCCATCTAGTATGGTATCTCTCATCCTGCTCTCCTCTATTATTACCTCAACTCAGTCTTCCTGCTCTCCCATGTCTTCTTCTCCCCTCCTCTTATCCCCCTCTCTTTTTCCTGATTCCCTCTCCCCTCCCCCCATGTTCCCAATCTGCTCAGGAGAGCTTGTCTCACTCCACTTCTCTGGGGTATAATGTATATCTCTTGGGAACCTCCCTGTTTCCCAGACTCACTGGCACTGGGATTGTAGGCTGACACTCCCCTGATCCATGTCTAAATTCCACATATGAGTGAGTACATACCATATTTGTCTTTTTGTAACTGGGTTACCTCACTTAGGATGGTTTATTCTAGTGCCATCCATTTGCCTGCAAATTTCAAGATTCCATTGTTTTTTTCCCACGGAGTAGTACTCCATTGTGTAAATGTATCACATTTTCTCTGTCCACTCTTCAGTTGTGGGGTATCTAGGTTGCTTCCAGGATCTAGCTATTACATATAATGCTGCTATGAACATAGTGAAACAGACATCCTTATTGTATGAATGGGCATCTTTTGGGTATATGTCTAGAGTAGAATTGCTGGGTCTTGTGGTAGACTGAGTCCCATTTTCCTGAGGGGTCACCATACTGATTTCCAAAGTGTCTGTACAAGTTGGCACTCCCACCAGCAATGGAGGAGTGTTCCCCTTTCTCCACATCCTCTCCAGCATAAACTGTCACTGGTGTTTTCTATTTTAGCCATTCTGACAGGAGTAAGATATCTCAGAGTTGTTTTGATTTGCATTTCCCTAATGGCTAAGGATGTTGAACACTTTCTCAAGTGCCTGTCAGCCATTTTAGACTCCTCTATTTAGTTCAGTCCCCTACTTTTTAATTGGATTCTTTGGTGTTTTGGAGACTTGCTTCTTGAGTTCTTTGTAAATTTTGGAGATCAGCCCTCTATCAGATATGGGGTTAGTGAAGATGTTTTCCCATTCTGTAGGCTGCCTTTTTGTCTGTTGACTGTGTCCTTTGCCTTACAGTAGCTTCCCAGATTCAGGAGGTCCCATGTATTAATTGTTGACCTCACTGTCTGTGCTACTGATGTTATGTTCAGGAAGCTGTCTCCTGTACCAATTCGTTAAAGGGTACCCCCCACTTTCTCTTCTAACAGGTTCAGTGTGGCTGGATATATGTTGAGGTCTTTGATCCATTTGGACTTAAGTTTTGTGCATGGTAATAGACATGGATCTATCTGTAGTCTTCTACTTGCCAATATCCAGTTATGCCAGCACAATTTGTTGAATATGCTATATTTTTTTCCATTGTATAATTTTAGTTTTTATGTCAAAAATCAGGTGTTCATAGGTTTGGGGATTAATCTCAGGGTGTTCAATTCGATTCCATTTGTCTACCTGTCTATTTTTGTGCCAATACCAAGGTGTTCTCAGAACTCTAGGTCTATAATAGAGCTTAAAGTCAGGGATGGTGATGCCTCCAGATGTTGCTTTGTTTAGCAGGGTTGTCTTGGCTATCCTGGGTCTTTTGTTTTTCCATATAAAGTTGAGAATTATTCTTTCAAGGTCTGTAAAGAATTGTGCTAGGATTTTGATGGGGATTTCATTGAGTTTGTATATTTCTTTTGGCAGGATTGCCATTTTTAGTACATTGATCTCACTAATACAAGAGCATGGGAGATTTTTCCATTTCCTGGTGTCTTCTTTAATTTCTTTCTTTAAAGACTCAAAGTTCTTGTGATACAGGTCTTTCACTTGTTAGCATTACCTCCAGGTATTTTATGTTTTTTTGTGGCAATTGTAAAGGGTGATGTTTCTCTGATTTCTTTCTCAGCCCTTTTATTTCCTGTATAGAGTAGGGCTACTGATTTTCTTGAGTTGATCTTGTAGCCTGCCTCTTTTCTGACGGTGTTTATCAGCTGTAAGAGTTCCCTAGTAGAGTTTTTTAGGTCACTCAATGTAAACTATCATATCATCTGCAAATAGTGAAAGTTTTACCTCTTCCTTTCCAATTTGTATCCCCTTGATCTCCTTTTGATGTCTTATTGCTCTAACTAGAACTTTGAGTATAATATTGAAGAGGTATGGGGAGAGTGGATAGCCCTGTCTTGTTCCTGATTTTAGAGGAATTCACTTAGTTTCTCTCCATTCAGTTTGATGTTGGCTGTTGGTTTGCTGTATATAGTTTTTTATTATGTTTAGGTATGTTCCTGTTATCCCAGATCTCTCCAAGACCTTTATCATGAATGGGTGTTGGATTTTGTCAAAGGCTTTTTCAGCATCTAGTGAAATGAGCATGTGATTTTTGTTCCTCAGGTTGTTTATGTGGTGGATAACATTGATGGATTTTCCTATGTTGAACCATCCCTGCATCCCTGGAACGAAGCCTACTTGATCATGGTGGATGAGTTTTCTGATGTGTTCTTGGATGCGTTTTGCCAGTATTTTATTGAGTATTTTTGCATCAATGATTCACTATATACATACGTATATATATACATACAGACTCAAGTTCTGTTTCTGTAGAGAACAATGATTAGTACAGATTGTGGTACTAGGAGTGGGTCCTGCAACAAGAGAAGGCTTTTCCACAGGACTAGGGTGCTGTGCAGGCTGCTCTATCACTTGGGTCATATACTTGATCCAGCAGGAGGCATATAAACTTGTCCACCTCTGAACCAAGTTTCTGATCAAGAGGAAACACATCTCAGAGTTCACCTAAATGATGCTGATCTCTTCTTGATTATTGCTAATTTCTCAGTTACAGCTAACTACCATCAATTGCCCCAGTAACGGACACATTTTCCTTCAGGTCTCTTGTTACTTCAGTGGTGCAGGAGTCTTTTTAAGCACAACTAATTCTCTAGCCCAGTTTAACAGAACCACAGATTCTTAATTCAAAACATCATATGGTCCAAATAGTCTTTAAACTTCCCTTTGGAATTTTCTTCCTTAGAAATCATTTATTTCAGGTATCTTGTTACAGCAACAGAAGGATGAGCTTACTTATTCTGGATTGCCCTCCTTTTATCTCTACTACTCCTCCCTGCAACAAATGCTTCCTTAATGTGTAGGGAAATGCATGCATTTCTTTTTTTTATTTATTTAGTATTTATGAGACAGGGTTTCTCTGTATTGTTTTGGAGGCTGTCGGTCCAGCCTGGCCTCGAACTCACAGAGATCCGCCTGCCTCTGCTTCCCGAGTGCTGGGATTAAAGACATGCGCCACCACCGCCCAGCTGCATGCATTTCTTACTAAAGGTCTTCCCTTAATATGGGACATTCACATACCCCCAAAATCAAGCTTAAAATGTTCATGAATGCCAATTTTTAATATAGTTTTCCATTTTAGACCCAGCTTAAGGGCCGTGACAGAGGCTGTCCGTTCCTATTTGGAATACCTGTTTTAAGTCTGTTCCCATCAGTCCCTTTATGCAGGTTTATACACTGTTCCCCACCCTCCTCTTTCTACCATCCTAGAGGTCTCAGGTCAATCGTAAGATAAATGCTGGTCAGGATATGGAACGAGGACCACACTCATCTGTTGTAGGTGGGAATGCAAGTTCATACAATCACTATGAAAACCAGTGTGATGGTTTCTCAGAAAGATGGGAACCAATCTAACTCAAGATCCAGATATACCACCCTGGGGCTTATACCCAAAGGACATTTCATCTTATCACAAGGACATTTGCTCAACTATGTTCATTGCTGCTGGTTTCATAATAGCCAGAAAGTAGAGAAAAGCAAGGTGGCCCTTCCACTGAAAAACAGATAAGGAAAATGTGATACATTTATACAATATAGTATTATTCAACTGTTAAAAACTTAAATCATAAAATTTGCAGGCAAATGGATGGATCTAGAAAAAAAATCATTCTGAGTGAGCTAACTTAGACCCAGAAAGATAAGTATGGTATGTATTCTATTTACTTATATTTGTTTTGTGCCCAGGTCTTGAAGACCCTCAGAGACCACAAGGAGACAGACTTCACCAAACCTCAAACACAAGGTTTTATTGTTTAATTCTACCAGTAGTGAGCTCGTCCAGCCAGCTGACACAGCAGCTACCTGGAGGAAGTCAAGTCCCTCGTCTATTGCCAGAATTTAAATGAAAAAACAAATTACAGAATTACATAAGTAGGTATGGGTCAGATCCTGATTGGTTGACATTTGGGGAACAATTAGGGGAATTTCCCAGAGTCAGGGCAATTGGTTTGTTAGTATTTTTGATTGGTTGGCTACAGATGGGAACATTGGTAGTTTCTATGGCTTTGTCTGTTACTTGCAGGTAGCCTGTTTTCATTGGTTGGTGCTGGGAGGGAGCATTCTGTGGTTTCTATGGCTTTGTCTGTTACTTGAATGTGGTTTGCTGCTAAACATAATATCCAGGTACTTACTAAGTCTAAGTTACTAAGTCTTGTTTTGGAGTTTTGTTCACAACACAAGGAATTAGAGGCTAGGGGTCTGGATTTATTTTGAAAGCTTTTCCACAACCTTTACATTTATATAGCTTCTGTCTAGTATGAATAATAAGAGTCGAATGGGAACTAAAGGTTTTGCCACATTTATACAATTTCTCCCCAGTGTGGTTTATTAAAAGTGTAGCCTTTGAGTTTTACTTTGCCTCTTCCAATGTGGATATTAGTTGTTAAATAAATGTTAACTAAGCTATAACCTGTGGACCAAGTGAGGTTAGGTATAGAGGAAAGGACTAGAAGGTCATGGATCTCCTTGGGAGGGGGAAATTGAATAGATTTAATGGGAGGACTGGGGAAGCAGGCAATGGGAACAGCAGGATCAGGAGGGGAGGGGGAGGGGACATAGAATTCAGGGAAAGACAGCTAGGGCATTTGAGGGATGGTATGGGAAACTAGTATGTTGGAAACTTTTTAAAGTATATGAAGGTATTCCTAATGAAGTCTCCAAACAATGAGGGAGACAGAGTCCCAACTGGCCATCTCTTGTCACCAAATGAAGCTTACAGTACTGGGGGTGGATTACAATCAATTGAGTTGTTGACCAAAGGGGCCCATGAAAATCCCAGGACAACCTGGACTGTTGCCAAGACAATAGACTGACTGCTCTCCACAAACTGACAGCATGGCCCCATTGTTGAAGAAAACACTTATACAATTCATTGAACATGGAAAGGTTGACCTTGTGCTACATAGAACTTTCACCCATACATTCTAGTGTCTGATATTCTGCAGGCTACCAAAAGAGAAAGTTAAGCACCAATCCAGTCACCACAAACCCTTTGCTATACAATCTGTTCTGCCTGCAAAATATGCTAGGGCAATGAAGGCACAAAGCACGTGGAGGTAACTAACCACTGTCTGATTTGATTTAAGGCCATTCCATGAGGTGGAGCTTATACCTAACAGTCCTTGGGTGACCAAGAACCAGAAACTAGCTAGCCCAGATAATTAGGTAAAACCAAATACTACTAGTCTGAAAAAAACCAATAAAATGACTTCTAATGATACTCTTTTATACTTTTTATACTCAGATATTAGTGATTTATTAAGCCATCATCAGAGAAGCTTCCTCCTACAGCAGATGGGAAAAAAAATACACAAACCTACAACCAGACATTTCTCTCTCTCTCTCTCTCTCTCTCTCTCTCTCTCTATATATATATATATATATATATATATATGTATGTGTATATATATATCTCACACACACATACACAGAGACAGAGAGACAGAGACAGAAAGTGAGAGAGAGACAGAGAGTGAGAGAGACAGTGACATGCAGAGATCGACACACACAGACAGACAGAGACAGAGACACAGAGAGAAATTGGAATACACACCTCTAAATGGAAGGGCTCTAACAAATCTCCTGCCTCAATGTTCTGGGAACCCTGTTGAAGAGAAGACAGAAAGAGTGTAAGAGCCAGAGGGCATGGGAAACATCAGGAGAAAAACCCTTCTAAATGAGCTTAGCAAGGCTCATATCACCTTACAGCAGCAAGCACAGGGCTACAGCGCTCTGCACCAGGTCTTCTGTGTACATGTCATAGCTTTTAGTTTAATGTTTTTATGGGAATCCTGAGAATATGAACAAGTTGATCTCTGATTCTTGTGCCTTCTCTTAGACTCTTTTCCCTATGTTGATTTCCTTGTTCAGTCTCAGTGTGATGTTTTTTTGTTAATCTTATTGTATTTTATTTAGGTATGTTTTGTGGTTATACCTTAGAAGGCTGTTATTTTCTAATGAGAGGCAGAAAGGGAGTGGATGTGGATGGGAGTGGAGGAGGGGAGGAACTGGGAGGAGTAGAGGGAAGAGAACCTGAAATCAGGATATACTGTATGAGAAAAGAATCTGTTTTTAATAAAAGGGGGAAATACTATCCTACAGATAGCCATGCCCGGGTCTTGTAAGGTTATTCAAACTCAACAACCCTGCAGCCCTACTCCCCACCAGTACTCCTTGCTTTTCACACATGAGCCATCTCCTACTGATCCAGCTTGGAGTTTTCCTCTTGTTGGGCACAAAGACTCTGTGACCCTGCATATCAGTTTTCTCTTCTTGAAGTTGTAAGTAAGTGAGTAAGTAAGTACGTGAGAAAATAGGTAAGTAAGAGCATTTGGCTCTCCAAGTGTCTTGTGCTGTGGTTTGTGATTACAGGACTCTAAATTTTCTAAAGCACAAAAGAAGGTCCTTGCCTGTGTCTGGGGGCCTGCTGATAATCCTTGTTGTTTCTTAACTTGTAGAAGAAACACACCTGTCTTTGCCTTTGCCTTCACATGAATGTTTCTGCATATGCATGTATAAGCCCATTCTTCTTTTCATATAAATACCAGTTACACTGGACTAGGGCCCCACCTTTCCCAAAACTGTTTAGTTTAATTTTAACTAATTACAGGTGAAAGGACTTTATTTAAAAATAAGACTACATTCTCAGATATTGGAACACAATTTTAAGATAAAAAGGAGGGCCAGGCAGGCAAGTTAACCCATGACAGGAAGTATTTATTTAAAGTCACACTATTCTTTGATCCATGGGTGCCATAGAAACAAAAAACGTCTGTGCAAATCAAGAATTCTCATAGAAGCTTTATATATAAGTCATCAGGCAAAGCAATTCAAATTCACAGAGAGACTGATGAATGAATTATAATATATCCTTTGGTAAGTCCAAACCATCATGCATGGATGAACTCACTAAAACATTGTGTTTATGTGGAGATCAGTAAATGGCATAATAGGTAAATTGTGAGAGATGTTATAGCCCTGTTTGCCTCTTGAGAAGGAGAACAAAGGAAGAACATGATGGGAACTTTGAGAAACAAGATGTTAGCACCTTGGTTTGGAAATTTTGCAAATGCTTGTCCCAGTTCATACATATTTACACATTTGTCAGCTGTATTCACATAGTGTTCACTCATTTTCCAGGATGTGATTTATTCTTTAAAAACTGCATTAAAAGGGAGAATTGCCATAAAGTGTGTCTTAATGTTTTAATATCATGAGAGAATGAATGAGTTAAGCTTTGGCTTTTTTCTTATCACTCAGCAAGCATCACAGCCTCTTCTTTCCCATGCAGGGTTAGTCATCCAACAGCACATAGAATGGAGATGAAGAAAGACAGGCAAAATGAGGAAGAAAAGTCCCCCTTAAGCCTGGTGAAATGAGTATGAAGTTGACCTCGAGGGACAGATTCACTGAGTCCATCCAGGGCTTATGGTGATTTGTGTTTAACTAGAAACCACTCCAGATGAATGCTCTGGGTAGGACTTGGGCTTTGGGGATACTGATCCCCATCATGATTTTGGTGCTAGATGGGACTGGTGAGTGACATTCTTAGATTTTCAGGAAATGAAATTATCTTTCTGGCTAACTTTAGACTATGATAATCCTCCTGTGTCAGCCTCCTGACTCCTGGGATTACAGGCATACACCTTTGTTGCAGGCTAACAAGGCACTTTAACACTCTACAGGTTACTTTAAAGCTGATTTTTTCATTAAATTTTAAAATTATTTTACATGCTAAGCAGTTTCCCCTCTCCTCTCCTCATGTTCCCTCCCTGCACACCTCCTTTCACCTCCCTCCTCCCTCCATCCACTCCTCAGAAAGGATCAGGCCTCCCATGGAGAGTCATAAAGCCTGGCATATTAAGTTGAGGCAGGACCAAACTTCTCCCTGCATCAAAGCTGAGCTTTTCTACAGGTATTCCATGGGATAGATTATTCTATTCTATTAGTCGTTATGGTGAATTTGAAGATTAGTGGCTGCTTGAAAAGAAATGCTTTGCTAGACTTCTTGCTTGTCCCATCTTTAAGGTTGAAACATATCAAAAGACAAAAGCAAACAAACAAAACCACAAACAAACAAACAAAAACGAGAAAAACCTCTGAGAAGCGAAGCAGTGCAATCCAGAGTAAAGTGGAGGCGCTGAACTTAGCCAGGAAGGGACAGTCCTCCAGGATAATAAGGGAAAGAGGGACATGGTGGCCTGGATGCAGGTCAGCTTATAGACTGGTGTCACCGATTGTGGAGCCTGTCTTCTTGATTTTTAATTTAAATTAAAAACAATCCTATTTTGCATACCAATCTCTGTTTTATTTCCTTACCATCCTCCCATTCCCCCACCATCTCTCCATCCCATGCCCCATTCACTCCTCAGAGAGGGGGAGGCCTCCCATGGGGGGAATCATCAAAGAAAGTCTGTAACCTCATTTGAGGCAGGACCAAGGCCCTCCCCACTGTATCTAGGCTGAGAGAGTATCCCTCCATAGGGAATGGGCTCCACTAAGCTGTTCATACACGAGGGATAAATACTGTCAGTTGCCCCATAAACTGCCCAGCCCACCCCAACTGACACCCACATTCAGGGTTCCCCAGCTGTCAGTCTGGAGTCCATGAGCTCCCACTTCTCAGGTCAGCTGTTTCTGTTGGTTTCCCCAGCATGGTCTTGATCCCTCTCTACAACTGAATTCCAGGAGTTCGGCTCAGTGCTTAGCTGAGGATCTCTGCTTCTGCTTCTATCAGCAACTGGATGAAGGCTCTAGGATGGCATTTAAGGTAGTCATCAATCTCATTATAGGTGATGGGCATTTAAGGTAGCTTCCCCACTATTGCTTAGATTCTTAGTTGGGGGTCATTGTTGTGGATTCCTGGGAATTTCCCTAATGCCAGGTTTCTCAGCAAGCCCATAATGAATCCCTCTCTCTAGGTATCTCTTTCCTTGCTCTGTTTTTTGCCCAACTCTACCTCCATGATCCCTCATGTTCTCCCCACCTTCTCTTATCTCCTCTCCTCTCTCTTACCTCCTTGCCACCCCCCATGCTCCCAATTTACTTAGGGGTTCTTGTCCCTTTCCTCTTCTGGGGGTGTCCATGTATGTCTCTCTTAGGGTCCTATGGAGTCTGTCTTAAAGCATTTGAAATAAAGCTATTGGAAGTTACCAGTGGAAAGAGGGGGCAAGATAAGGAGTGGAGTCTGTGAAATAATCATCACAAAGATGGGACAGGCCAGCCTGCTGGCTGAGTGTTAGAACTTTAGTCTTAGTTCTGCTTCTCCAGGACCACAGTTCCTAAGTAGGCTGCTCAACATGGAAGCAAACTTACTTTTCTTCCAATACAAAAATACAGTGTATTTCCTTCTACTTCAAAATGTATAAGATACAAGTTTGACATAAATTACCACATTAATAATCCATTTTCAACAATTAAGAAAGCATGTGAGGCCTTTATATGAAGTTAATTTAACCATATTCAAATTATTAAAAATATACATGTATTTATTTAGTGTGTGTGTGTGTGTGTGTGTGTGTGTTACGTGTGTGTGTACCTTGACACACCTTTTATGTGGGGGTCACAGGACAACTGTATGAGTTGTTCTCTATGTGGATTCCAGGGTTTAAACTCAGGTCTTCAGGTGTGGCTGTACATACCTTGACCTTGTGAGCCGTCTTGCTGGCCTCTGACTTTCTTAAAGATAGAGATCTGTATTGTGATGTAGCACAAAATCAACTTTGATGAATGTACCTGGGTCATTTGAAAGATACAGATTATGTACATTGAAATTGTTTTATTAAAGTCTCTTTAGTCACTCAATTTGATACTGTTATTGATTCATTCTATGTCCATACTACATTTAAAATTCTGATTGCTCGATCCATTTCTGAGGAAGAGGTGTCAAAACCTCTGTCTATGATTGTGAAACTGTCTACATGTCTCTTTAATTTAGTTAAGTTTTGTTTTATGTGGTTTGAAGCTTCATTATTAGGTATGTACTTAACCAGGACAATTAACATTGTACAAATTTTGAAATGACCATTAACACTTTTTGCTTTGAATAATTTTTCTATTATTAATATAGACTCAAGTTTCTCTCTTCCCTTCTCCTTCCTTCACCTCTTCCATGTTGTGTGAAATTAATATTTTGCCGTCAGAAGTTTGTGGTATAGTTATATGGTATTTTCCTTTATCACCAGTAATGCCTGTAACTACCTATCAGAACATGGTTAAAAGAATGCCCCATGGTGAACAGTGCCTTGAAGAACTCTGAGGACTGCTTGAGGAAGAAGGGCAGAGGGACTTCTACCTCAAGTGCATTCTGTTCCTTGGATTGTCTTGGTCATGATTTCATGCCTGTTGTGTTAAACATTTACATTTAATTTATTATTGTTGGATATCAGAGCATAGTTATAGAATCCTATTTGGTGAAAAGATTGCTGAGTTCTGTCCTCAGTGTACCCTGACTCTGGATATGGCCTTCTGCTTTGCTCTCATGCTTTCCCAGATATAATCTATAGTATGTACCAGAAAAATTGTGTTTAAATAGGTCTGTCGTGAGAAAATTCTTGAACAGGGCGGCTTTGTAAATATTTATTATGTGCTTACTGGCAATTATTTCAAACAACTTTTCTTGTATCATTATTTTCTTAGTTCCATAAAATAAATACACGGAAGTATATTTAAACTAAAGTAAGGTTGTCTACAGCATACTCTATCCTTTAAGGTCTTTAAATCCCAAGTCTTGCAGACACAGATCTGCATAGGTCAATGAATGTCAACACTACCAACACTCCATACAAATGCACATATCATTAGTCATTTTAATTTTGTTCACGCTTCTAGGAAGGTAGTGATTATTTTTCTGTGTTTTTGATTGGCATTACGTTATATTACTAATCCTTTCCTTGTGTCTACTAGCTATTTAACTACCATTATTCTAGCGAAGTGTTTGCTCAAATAACCTTTCTAGTTTTCAAATCTGGCTTTTAATGTGATTGAATAGTTTATTGAGAGTTCTTCATGGATGAGTGTTAGACTGTATCAAATGCTTCTTTGGCAGCTACTGATAATGATAACATGACTTATGACTTTTCTCTTTAGCCTGTTGGGGTGATGGCTCTCTGAATGTGAACCACCCTTGCATCCCTGAGATAAATCCCATTGGTCATGTTTTAACCCTTTTATAAGTTCTTCAAATGGATAAGCTAATTATTTGGTGAACTTCTGATCCTTGGGCTTCTAACTCCCAATTGCTGGAATTACATGTGCACGCTATAATGTTCAGTTCTGTGCAGGGCTGGGGAACTGAACTCAGGGCTAAGCAAGCATTCTACCCAAGTCCTCAGCTCTAGTAACTTATTCCTTTCAAGCACAGAGTGATATTGCCATTTTCAAATGTGGCATAATATATTTACCTATCTATTTACTATGGAATCTCTTGTTGTTTTCCAATTTTTGGCAATTATGATAGAAACTAATATACATTCTTAGAATAAGTGCTCCCCTTTCTCTATATCCTAACTTGCATGTGTGTGGTTATTTTCATTTTCTTTATTATGAAAAATAAATTTTCTTTTTTTAATTAAGTAAAATATTATTACAATGTTTCCCACTCCCTCTCCTACCTCCAACATGTAATTTTTTACTGACTGGAGTAATATTTAATCTCAAGATATTTTTAATTTGCATTTTTCTGATGCCTAATCGTATTGAATATTTTTATATGCTTATTATTCACTTGCACTCCTTTTTTGAGAATTGTCTGTTCATTTTATTAGCTCCTTGCTAATTGGGTCATTTGATGCTTTTGTTGCATTTTTGAATCTTTTTTATCATCTCCGTGTTAGTCCTCCATAAGATATATAGTTAGCAAAGATGTCTCTCCCATTTTGTAGGCTGCCTCTTCACTCAATTATTTCCTTTTCTGTAAAGAAACTTCTTTTTTTTCAATATATTTCTTTGTTTAAATTAGAAAGAAGCCTGCTGCACATGCCGATCCCAGTTCCCTCTCCCACCCTTCCTCCCTTGCCCCCTAGTCTAAAATCCATTTAAGAGTAAGTACATATCATGTTTGTCTTTTTGTGACTGGATTACCTCACTCAGGGTGGTTTCCTCTAGTGCCATCCATTTGCCTAAAAACCTCAAGACTCCATTGTTTTTATTTACCACTGAGTATCGTTTTCCTAGTTTCTACTTTCTTGATTTCAGCCCTCAATTTAATTATTTCCCAACATCTGTTCCTCTGTGGTGAGTTTGCCTCCTTTTGTTCTAGAGCTTTCAGTTGTGCTGTTAATTCTCTAGTGTGACTATTCTCCAGTTTGTTTATGTGGTCAGTTAGTGCCATGAAGTTTCCTCTTAGCACTGCTTTCAAAGTGTCCCATAAGTTTGGGTGTGTTGTTTCTTCATTCTCATTGAATTCTAGGAAGTCTTTAATTTCTTTTTTTATTTCTTCTTTCACCCAGAAGTGGTGCAATTGTGCATTATTCAATTTCCATGGGTTTTCAGGGTTTCTGTAGTTTGTGTTATTGAATTCTCACTTTGAAGCATGGGGGTCTGATAAGATACATGAAGTTATTCTAATTGTGTGTGTGTGTGTGTGTGTGTGTGTGTGTGTGTGTGTGAATGTAGCACTTTATTTTGGAAAAACAGCTTCAGGTTTCCATGGTTACAGAAAAAACAATCTAAATGTCAGTCTACCATGATGGATTTTTATGTGTTAACTAAGGTTTGAATTCTATCTCTGTATGGCAGTAGGTGGGTGAAGAGTCAATGAAGTCACTTTATTTTTTTTAAATCATTTATTTTTATATTTGAATTTAAATTAGAAACAAGGTTGCTTCACAAGTCAGTTCCAGGTCCCTCTCCCTTTCCCTCCTCTCCTCCCGTGCCCTACCCCCAAACTCCCCCCCCCATTATCCCCTCATTTCCACAGGGAGGGTGAGGCCCTCCATGGGGGTGTCCATAGTCTGTCCTTTCACCAGGGCAGGGCCTAGACCCTCCCCCAAGAGTTCAGGGTGAGAGTGCATCTCACATTGTTGGATGGGAGTCCAAAGTCCATTTGTATACCCGGGATGAGTACTGATCTACTGCCCAAGGCTCAATAGATTACCTAGGCCTCCTTACTGACACCCACATTCAGGGGGTCTTGATCAGTCCCATGCTGGATTCCCAGGCATCAGTCTGGGATTCAAGAGCTAACCCTTGTCAGGCCAGCTGTTTCTGGGGGTTAAACCAGCCCAGTCTTAATCCCTTTGGTCATCAGTCCTCCCTGCCTGCAAATTTCAGGATTCCATTGTTTTTTTTTCTGCTGAATAGTACTCCATTGTGTAAATGTACCACATTTTCTCTATCCACTCTTCAGTTGAGGTTGCTTCCAAGTTCTGGCTATTACAAATAATGCTGCTATGAACATAGTGGAACAGACATCCTTGTTGTATGAATGGGCATCTTTTGGATATATGCC